TCGATCTCACTATCGATATCACTATCGATCTCGCTATCGATCTCACCATCGATCTCACAATCAATCTCACAATCGATCTCACATTCGGTCTCACATTCGGTCTCACTGTCGATCTCACTATCGATATCACAATCGATCTCACAATCGACGTCATCATCATCATCATCATCATCATCATCAGCATCATCATCATCTTCATCAACATCAACATCATCATCATCATCATCATCATCATCATCATCATCATCATCATCATCATCATCATCGCCATCATCAACAGCATCATCATCATCACCATCATCATCATCATCACCATCATCATGGGACCATCACTATCGGGACACCGACGGGACACCGACGGGACACCGCGCGCCACCGGCCGCCCGGAAGAGACACACTTGGTCCGGCCGCGCCTCAGCCACAGGGACACCGACGGGACACCAGCGGGACACCGGCGGAACACCGCGCGCCACCGGCCGCCCGGAAGAGACACATTTGGTCCGGCCGCGCCTCAGCCACAGGAGACTTTCTCTCGCCCGCCCACGCAGCTTCGCCTCGCCCGCACGCACGGCACGCGCGAACACGAAACCGGAATCGATTTCCCGGTAGGGGTCTCTCCGTTCCACTTCGATCTCACCCCCTAACTTCCGATCGTTCTAGTTCACGCGCGCGCGGGGCGGCTTCTGGGGGCTCCCTGACGAACAGTACCCCGACCAGGTCCCCGCCTGTTCGGCTCAGAGATGATTTTCCTCCTCGGCGCTGCCTTCCAGGCCTCCCAGAGCGCTCCAGGAACGAGCCAAGAAGGCTCCGATTCGCCCCCGAAACGGTCCAAGGGGCCCCGAATCGCCGAAAGATTGCTCCAAGACGCCTATCCTGGTTTCCGGACGGCCCTAGACGCCGCCGAAAAGTCCCAAGAGAGCATCACGAGGCCCTCCAAGAGGGCCCCAACAAGCAAACATCGTCCATGTCCTTAATAACACGTACATTTCTGGCATAGACGACGCTCGGAAGTTCACAGCGTCCAGGACTGCTTCAAAACCCCGCAAGATCGCCCCAAGATGGCCCAGCATGCCCCCATCATGCGCCCAAGAGGGCCCAAGGAGGCTCCAAGATGCCAAGAGGGCCCCCAACAAGCAAACATCGCCCATGTCCGCAATAAAACGTACATTTCACGCATAGACGACACTCGGAGGCTCACAGCGTCCAAGGCTGCCCAAGAGCCCCCCAAGATCGCCCCAAGATGGCCCAACATGTCCCCAATATGCGCCAAAGGGGGCTCCAAGACGCCAGGAAGGGTGCCGTCCAGGCCTCCCAGAGCGCTCCAGAAACGCGCCAAGAAGGCTCCGATTCGCCCCCGAGACGGTCCAAGGGGCCCCGAATCGCCGAAATATTGCTCCAAGACGCCCATCCTGGTTTCCGGACGGCCCTAGACGCCGTCGAGGAGCTTCAAGAGCCTCAAGAGGCCTTCCAAATAGGCCCCAACAAGCAACAATCGCCCCATTTCCTTGGTAAACCGTGCATTTCTGGCATAGACGACGCTCGGAGGTTCACAGCGCCCAAGACTGCCCAAGAGCCCCCGCAAGATCGCCCCAAGATGGCCCAGCATGCCCCCGTCGTGCGCCCAAGAGGGCCCAAGAGGGCTCCAAGACGCCAAGAAGGGCCCAACAAGCAAACATCGCCCACGTCCTCAATGTAACGTGAATGCCTGGCATAGACGACGCTCGGAGGTTCACAGCGTCCAACACTGCCCAAAAAAACCCAAGATCGCCCCAAGATGGCCCAGCATGCCCCCAATATGATGATGGCTCCACGTGTTCTGTCATATTATTGCAACTCTCGGTTCGCCATCTACACACAGTGGTACCAACAAGGAGGTCTGTGAAGGTAGGTGCGACGGACGAGAAGTGATCGTTGGGATAGCGATCGCGCAACTTTTTTGCCACGCAAACAGTTCTTGAGCCTTGAGCCAAAACGGGCACGGACCCTCATCCGCCCCGCGGCTCGCGCAAGGTTTCGTGACAAGTTCGTGCCCGAATATACAATACAATTTATAATGCACATGCACATGTCTATGGCGGTGAGATTGCCCCTGCGCTCTGGCAGGGCTCTGATCTCTGAGCGGCTGGCGCACCGGCAAAAATCTTCTCTCAGCAGGGGGTATGAGCGGCTGGCGCACCGGCGAATCTCTTTTCGCAACGGCGGGTATTTTGGCTTCCTCTCGTGGCCAAAAAACACTCGGAATCAGAGAGCCGGCGGGTCCTGCGCTGTGGACGCTCATGCATGACATGACTACTGTATTAATTCATACACATACATAAGTATACGGAGGCCCTCGCTCCCGCGTGTCTCCTCGGCTGTCGAACGGTTGCCCGCCCGACAGCCGAAAGCAGCAGGGTGGATGCCGACGACGGGGGTCACCTGTGACAAGTATACACAATTCTGATTCCAGTGATAGGCGGTTACATCCGGAACGGAACATATACAATGTGATGCAACACGCTGACAGCAAATGGCTCGCACACACTGATGCTGCTGCTACTGCGTGCTCTGCCCGAATCACTGATGCTACTGATGCATGATATTCCCGAGAAGGTGGGGCCAATGAGGCCCACGCGCCCCCCCCACGCAGCTGCGCATCCAATCGGGCCCATCGCCGCTCAGAGGAACTTGGTCGGCACCTCTTTTTGCCGCACCGGCCCTTCTTCTTGGAGGGCTGCGGATACTCCGCATCGGGGCGGTGGTGGCCGCCATCTGGCAGCAAGGCCTGCAGCAGGGCTGACTCGAGGGGCGTCGGTGTCCGCGCCGTCGAAGCCTGTGGCAGTTCACGGTGGTCGGCGCCACCCTGGAGATGTCCTTGAGGTTGACATCGGTCTTGCACTTCTGGGTCTCGGTCTTCATGGAAATCATATTTGGACTCCAGTCCGGCCGGGTCGTCGTAGTCCACGCTGAGTTCCTCCTTGCACGTATGGGGGTAGTCCTGGGTCTCGGTCGTCGTGCCTATCGAAAGGTTGCCCTCCCGACTGGCCGCCGCAGAACTGTTGCTGCGCTGCCCGTTTCCTGCGGATGACTGAACTCCTCCGCGGGGCGGGCCCATCTCCAGCGCAGTCTGATATGTTGCGCCGCCCTCGGTCGACTCGGGTCTTATGCGTCGCAATGTTGTGAATCACGGCCTGGGCGCCACGAGCGCCGTGTTCATGAGGTCGGCGACGGATTGCAGATGTCAACTGTCAACCGGTGGCCGGCAGTTCCGGCAGCGAACCATCCATCGCCTGGTGCAGCACCTCGATCACAGGTGAGGTTGCCATTTTCGTCAAGCAGTCAACGATCATCCCTGCAGTCGGGCAGTGGATCAGATTAGCAACGCCCTTCTCGTATTCCTCATGCAAGCGATGGCCGCGCTCAGCAACGTATCTTGTGCGCCATGCTGCGCCACATTGGACTATAGTGAAAGCCGCCTGGTTGTCCACCAGGATCAGGACGGTCGGCACGAGGACCCCGAAGCTCTCGATGAGGAGGCGAAGCCCTTCCACCACCTGCCAACCGAGAGTTGCCGAATTCAGTTCGGCTTCAGCTGTGCTCAACGCAAACACCGTCTGTCGAGAAGACCTCCACACAATAATCGACCCCCCCAGGTGATAATCAATCCGTTCTGGGCCCTGGTCTCCTCGCCGGCGAAGTCTGCGTCGGTCCAAGCTTGAAGATCAGATTCCGACCCAGAGGTAGATATGCAAATTCCAGGGGGTGCTGTGCCGCGCAGAAACTTCAACATCTTCTGAACAAGCTCCAGCGACCAAGCGGAATATTTACTGCAGCCCGGCGCCAATATCGATGTATAGAAACTGATATATGGCCTCGTGCGCGTGGCAAGCCAACTGAATTCACCAGCATATGCTTGCAGTTGGCGCAGGATTGCTGGGCGAGGCACATCTGGTTCAGAACGTAGTGGTCCCATCTGAACACATTCGATGGAGATGCATGCGTCCATGCTGTACTTAGTTAGAATGCTACTGGTGAACTTTTCTTGGTTGAGGTAGATGTCTCCGTTGTCCCGGAGGTGCAAGTTGATCCCCAGGAGCGTCAAGGGGCTGCCCACATGCAGCACTGCTTCCTTGGCTAAGGTTCACACTCGAGCCAAAGACTCCAGAAATGCATTCCTCATCTGACCGAGGCGGGCTTGCAATAGGAAATCGTCGACGCATACGATAAGAACACCATGAGCAACACTCGACTCACCGGATGATGTTTTGATGTACCACACCTGAAATCGGTCCGAGAGTTGTCCAAGACATACTCGGTATTGGTGTCAGGATCGTACCAGCGAAGGTTTTTCAGCTGCTTATCCCCCCCGCGGACCACAGCGCAGGGGAGTCTCTGAGACCGTACACTGCGCGGCCCAGGAGTCCAAGTCACGCCGGGCTTGACGAGGCCCCAGCGGACCCATAGAGCCAGCGGAAGCACTATCACGATTTGTCCCTCGGGCATGTTGGCATTTAGGAAGGCGCCCTTCACGTCATGCTTGGAAACGGTCCAACCGCGGAGGCGCCCAAGCTTGAGGGCAGCATTCAAGGAAGATGGTTCAGCCTGGGTTGTCCAAGACTTGAATTCAGGATCGAGTTGTGCGAAGTACCTGCAGACGCATACCCTACACTTGAAACGATCACCCTCCTGAGACCACACGCAAGTCATTGGAGAAGGCTTACCATGTGCCGCCCTCTCGGCAGGAGTCGATTCGTGAAACGCCCCCATCTTCTCAAAATTAGACGTCAGCTCTGCCTCTGCGGCTAATTTCCAAGACTCCTGGGCCACACCAGCACCACTGCTGGAAGATACCTCCTGCGGCGAAGCAATCCGATTGCCCGGCTCCTCCACGAGAAGTTTCTAAAGAGCGTCCTTCTGCACAGGGTCGATGTGGCTCCCAGCGCCCGCGGCATCACACGCTCGTCCGACGTGCCGGCGTGTTTTCCTGAGGCCCTGGAACAGGGTCCTGCGCTGGCGTCGGTTCAGTGGTCGCACGGGTTCTGCTTCGTCCACGTCCACGTCTTCTTGCCGTACACCGGTCTGCGCTTGAGGCCTGTCGAAAGGTCGCCCTCCCGACGGCATCTCCGGCGCCGCGCCGTCAACGACGAGGGCGGCACTGAAACCTCCATGAACGACCCAATCGTCATCGGAATCAACCTCCGAGCCACGATCATCTGAAAAAACGCTCGCGTCAAGTGGCTCGGTGTCTGGAGGTCCCGTGGTGTCCTCGTCGGACAGGTCTTGCGCTGCGGACCCCATGTGGCGACATCGGAGAAAACCAAGCAGGGCATGAGGGCACTCTTGGAATATTGTCGACTCGCCGCTCTTCCAACCCTGATGCTGCTGAACGGCCTGTGCTGCCATGAAAGGCATGTCGGCACCCCCCACCTCCTGGGTTGGCAGTTGGGGCATTTCCTCGACGCCATCTTCATGTTCCACCTTGTCGGCGTCCAGCTGAGGGAGCTGGCGGCGCTCGAAAACACTCCCCCCAGACCAAGCTGTGCGGTCCAGGTTGTCTTCGCTTCCTGCGGATGGCGATGCAAGCCGGACACGTTGCTGTGTCTCTGGTGGTTGCCCCCTCAGCAGGCGCGGTCGGCACAAGACTGGCGGCATCGTACCTCGCTGGGTCTGGAAGCGGCAGAGGGCTGTCTGGGGGGCCCCACTCGCTCATGTGGGTCTTCACCCACATCAAGTCCTCGACGTCTAGACCGTGCACGGCCACATTGACGCGACACTTCACCACGCCGTTCTAGTACGTCCACATCCCGTTGGTGATCGAACTGATTTGGCCGAACACCGTGGCCGGGTAGGCGCGAGGTAGGAAAGCGTTGCGTGGCTTGGGGTCCTGGACGACCATCACACGAGTGCCGAATGGTATGCGCGGATACTCCTCGAGACCAGCATCTGCTCTGCACAACTGTGCGGCCGCCAGCGTGGCCATGCCCCACCAGTGGGTAGGAAGCCTGCAGCCACTGAGCAGGCAAGGCGCGCGACGCATCAAAATGCCCACTGCGCTCTCGGCTGAGGCGTTGGCGTTCGGGCCGTGGCCAACGGCGCATGTCTTGTGAATGCCCTTGTCTCAGCAGAATTGCTGGAGTTCTTCGTTCATGAACTCCCCGCCTTGGTCAGAAAGTAAACGGAATACATTATCGCAGGGCAGGTTCCCATGGTCGTTGTTGACTTGGGCCAACAGGTGTTGCACTGCCTTGGGTGCCTCCGCCTTGCTGCCGAGTAGTGCTGCATAGATCAAGGCACGGTTGTTGGCACTGTCACGTCGGCCTTTTGGTCGGCAGCCTGCTGGGGCTCAGCATCAGGGCCGCGCGTCTGGACCTGAGCATCGATGAGCACAGTCGTGTCGTCTGGCCGCACAGACAATGCTAGGAAATAGTGGCACGGATCTTTCCCGATCTGTCCCCCAGGTCGTGGGGTTGGCTCGCGCGGTCCACTCAAATCTACACAGCAGGTCACCAGCGACACGTTGGAACGTCTGTAACGCGCCCTCTGGCGCAGAGCGGCGCCTTGTCACAGTGCGTCGTCCGCTGAATACCGTTGGTTTTGCCACGGTTGCTCGTCCAGCTCTTCTATTACCAAGTCCTTCAACTCTCTGGGCCCCTCAACGGGAGCGGCTGGGCCTGGTTGGTGTTGGTCAGGGTCTGCTGGTGCTGCTGGATGATGCTGGTCAGCAGGTGATGGTGGTGGAGTTGGTGGATGTTGCTGGTCAACACGTGCCGGTGGTGGTGCTGGTGGCGCTGGCTTTGCCGACAGCGTTGCCGTTGCTGCTTTGGCGTAGTGCGTGGTCTGGCCACGCTGGGTGCCCCGCTGGTCGTTGGAAAGCGTGGAAGCCAGGCGATGCCTGTCGGAGGTTCCCCTCCCGACTGGCCGTCGTGGGAAGACATAGTCACGCGATGCCTATCGGAAGGGTGCCCTCCCGACTGGCCGTCGCGAAGCCCGAAATCGGACGAAGAAATAGCCACGTGGCGCCTATCGGAAGGGTGCCCTCCCGACTGGCCGTCGCGAAGCCCGAAATCGGACTGGCGCCCCACACATGCGGCTGAAGCCTTGTGCGCCTGGGCACCCCTGCCTCCGGGTAGGAACAGCTCCGCCTTGGCGATCCACTTGGCCATGATATCGTTCCACTGCTTGCCCAGCTGTCTGTCCAGAGCTCTCTGGTGAAGCTCCCCAGGGGCCTGTTCAAGCTGCTGCTCACGCGTCCAGCCTTCAGGAGGCGACGATAATTGAAATAGAATGGGAGTTGAAGAAGAACGCGAGTCATCAGCATGGATCTGTGCACCTCCCCCCCCTTCAGGCGCACCAGCGGCGCCAGAGGTCGGTCGGCAGTCCGCCACAACCCGTTCGCATTATTCGTGCGTGTAGTGCGTTGAAGACGCGGCCCGACCTTCTCCTCGGAGCTGGAGGTGTTTGTGCGTGCTTGGGCATTGCACACGCAGGTGGTAAAGCTCGCTGGAGCACTGGAAGTGCGATCGTTTCCTGATGAACTGGCCTTCTAGCATGCCGCCCACAGCGCATTGGTCCAAACGGGCCAGGGAACACGTCACGTCTCTCAAATGCTGTAGCTGACTTTTCGTGATGATATCGCTGTATGCTGGGTTTTCCAACAGGTATCGGCGCCCCAGCAACATCTGAATAAAGCAGCACACAGCCAAGAACTCAAGGAATGACGTTTCCAGGTCCCGCTTGGCCGCGAGGACGTCGAGGGGCAGGCCTCGGGTCTGAGCCCCCCAGGGCGCGCAGTTGGGACTAGCGAGCAGGGTGTCCACGCCCACGAAGATGAGCGCCCAGAGGATCAACAACGTAGCGGTAATCGACTGGCGGAAAATGCGGCACGGCCTGCTGCCGAGCCAGGGTGGGCAAAGAAGAACTCCCGCTGCAAAGCTCCCACACTCTGGCCTGGTGATTTCCCGACGGGGTGGCGGATTGAACCACGTTCGCGCCTAGCTGCCCAAACGATTCTGGAAACACCACCTTCGCAGCGTCGTCCTCGTAGTAGTGGTCTGGCAGGTGCTTGTATTTGGACCGTATATTATGCGCTTGCTTCTTCGTGAAGTCCCCGTCAAGGAGCCTCAGCTGCGACCTCAGGAGCTGCGGCGAGCAAGTCGTTCTTGACACTCTGGCTGCGGCGGGGGCCTCGGCGGGGTGGCCGCTGCTCCCCGCGCCAGTGGAGTCTGGCAGGTCGTTGAGGGTCAGGTTGAGGTCGTCTTTCGACACGTACGGCAACGTGCCCCAAGTCTTGATGTTCACGATCCTCCCCTTCGGCGTCTGCAAGACATGCCGGTCTCCACGTTCGATGGTGCAGCCGCGTTCCCAAAGAAAACCCTCAGGGAACAGGTCGATGTTGTCGCCGTCATCGACCCAGGGAACGAAACACCGTGGGACTCCTTTCCTGCCAGTGTCTCTGCGGCACTTGCACTGGCCGTGGGCCAGGTTCAGGGACTGCTAGAAGTCGGTGTCCTTGTGCGGCCCTTTGCTGTGGATGAGGTGGACGTTCGCCCAGCTGTCGAGGCCGATAGCGTTCCTGGGGAACTTCCCGGGGGTCGTCCCCGATGACGCCCCCAGGCACTCTTCGTCGAAGGCAGCCTTGGCTGTGCCCCCCTTTCCTCCTTCACGTTTTGCCCCTTTCGGGGTGCCAGTTTTGCCCTTGCCGTTGCCTTTGCCTTTTCCTTTGCTCGCAGCATGCGCCTCCTCCTTCCGCTTGCGGTAGTCCTCCCAGACCTTCTGTCTGTTGGGATCCGCGCCGCCTCCTGGGGCAGTGCAGTCAGCCCCGCGGTGTTCCTTCGAACCGCACGTGATGCACCGGTTCTCAGAAATCGGGAAGCCGCGGTGAGCAAAGTGGCAGGACATGCCGCGTTTGCAGCAACCAGTGGATGTCCAGTCTCGGCACAGGGGCGCCCAGCTCGAAGTGGCAGAAGAAAGGCGAACGGGCGCAGCCACGTCGGTGGTCGTCGGCGGCGATCCGCCCTGTGGCGAAACTTGCGTCGTAGGTCCAGCTCTCTCTCCCGCCTTGCTTCCTGTCTGGCGCGAAGCGGCTGCCCGCTTCTTCTCGGTCTCTCTGATATGCTGTTGGCGCGTTTTCTGGTGGTCTGTCAGCGGAAGACCCGTGGTCAGGCCGACCCCACCGTGGAGAACAAGAGTTCCGAGTTCCGCTTCCGCGAAGGCGACCGCCTGCTCGATGGCGTGCATCGTGACAAGATGTGGCAGGCCGAGCTGGTTGCGCAAGGTCACCCAGCGGAGGTTGAGCTGTGGCTCCGCCTTGTCGAACACCGCCAAAAACATCGATTCCATGGCTCTGTAGGCAAGCAAGTGGTCGGGAGGACTGCACCCGAGCGCGGCGTTCTTCCGCAAGTTCTCCTTCCACCTCAATAGCTCCACCTGCGCTGCCCGAGGCTGCGAGCACACGTTCGGGTTCAAAATGGAGCTAATCAAGAATACCTTCTCGTCGGCGCCGCCAGGCGCGAAGGCTTTCATGAGGTAGAACAGTAACACGTGTGATGCATCAACTCGGACGCTCCTGGCTCTGAGGACAACCCATTCGCGAATGTATTTTGGCAAAGTCTCTAAGATACGCGGGCGAATCCAGGATTCGATCTGTAACCGAAGAGCCAACATCGGCGCGGTGGGCTCGATACCTTCTCTCTGGTGCAGCGGTGTTTTCAGGAAAACCTTGTGGGCGAATTTAGCCTTTTGCAAGCACCACGCCCACCAGTGGATGAGATGAGGCCCTGCGGGGTTGATCACCTGAGTGACAGCTATCCGCCAGCTGTTCAGCCTTGTGGCTCTGGACGCCGCGTCCCCCATCTCAAGCTTCGGAAACTCTGGCACGAACGCTTGGATGGATTTCGTTAACATGCCTAGCTCTTGTGGGGTCAAGGACTGCGACGGTACTGCCACAGCGCTGGTCTGACCTCCGTCGCCAGACGCCGTCGGCCCTCCGAGAGGTTGTTGAAGCGACGGCCCACACCTGTCAAGTGGCCACTGCGGTGCGTAGGCCTCCGCCGCCGCTGTGGCCTGGCCTGCTGCTGGCCTTGTCGACGGTGCTCCTGCAAGGAAGGTGGACACGTCGCTGTCCAGGGTGTTGGGGGATGCCGTAGCCAGGCCTGGTGGGTGGCCCGTCTGGGGCTGCAGGTACTGACTGGTTCCCGGGTCGACACCGACCCCTGCGGCGTGATGGTTCAGAAGCTGACTGCCGGCAACCGCTTCGCTGCGCAGCGTCCGTGCGCCTGGGAAAGTCATGCCCTGTGAGTCACTGATACCCTGTAATTGTAGTCGCCCTCCTTGCAAGTCGTACAGGCTTGGAGCCTGTCAGCCTGTCCTGCCAGCTCGCGTCAGTGAGTGCTGGGCTGTGCGCTGCCCCTGGTCACTGACTGGAGCTGTAACTGCTCTTGCGCATACGTCTGGGCAAAATCTGTTGTTTCCCGTTTCGGGACCGTGCTCGCCCCGGCGCCCCTGCTGTATTCCAGTGGAACCTTCGCCGCCGGCGAAGCTGAAGGCTGCGCTAGCATCAGCTGAGAATGCTGGGGAGCGCCAGGCTGCACCGAACTCTTCTGCGCGACGCTTTGTGCACCCCGGTGGCTTGGATGCCCCAGCCCCGTCCCCGGCATAATGTCGACAAGTTGACTTCCCGGCCTCTGTGCCGATAACTCCCCACTCTCGTACCAATCGTCTGCTGCGGCTCGGACACCTCGTGGAGTGTTGCCTTCGTCCATTCGGTACTCCTCTGGCGGACGATGGGCAGCGTCGTCGTCGGTGGACTGCCAAAGGCCCCACTCGAGCTCGATCGTGTCCACCCTGTTGTCAATCCTGATGAAGTTTGCCTTCAGCTCCTCCGCCGTGTTCACAAGAGTCCCGACAGTAGTGCGCAACATCTGGATATGGCCCGTGAGGTCGGCGTCCTCTGGGTCCGACTGGCCCCTTCGGTCCCGATGGAAAGGATAACCCTCCCGACGGTACCAATGAAGTTTCAACTGTGGCCAATGCGGATGTTGCGGGCTCGTCCACGGCGGTGCCAAATGAAGCAGGAGGGCTCCGTGGAAGCGTCTCGAAAGGTTGCCCTCCCGACGCCCCAAGCGTTTATGAACCCCTTGGTCGCCTTGCTGTGGCTTTTGGCGGCCTTGGCGCCGGGTGCGGTTGTGGAGGTAGCGGTGCCCCCGACGCTGGGCCCGTGGAGGTGTAGTTGGTCTTGGTCTTGGGGAAGAAAGACGTCCCCGGGAACCCAACGCAGCCACCAGACTTGAGGTGGGCCACGTGGCCGGGGTTCGCCGTGCGGCAGGCCAGGCAATGACCCGTGGTTATATGCAAGTCTCCACTGGATCGCGTGCGTCTCATCACCCTGTGCGGTTCTGCGCGCTGCGGTGCTTCGAGGCGCTGTTGTACAGAGGCGCCACCTGGGTGCCCTTCGGAAGGTCCCCTTCCCGACAAGCTCGCCCCAGGAGCCTCGGTCCATGCCCTCGGAGATGTGGACCCCTGGCGTGCGCCTTGAACAACTCCTTGGGCCAGTGCGATGGCGGCTCCAGCGGCGGGGGCGGCTGTCCCACCGACGGCGACGCCGACCGAAACTGACATGCCAACGGCTTGCAGCGCAGCTCGCTTCCAGTCGGCCACTTGCCCTGCCAATGACCGCCGCCACTGTTCCCGGCGGAGGCCGTCCTCGTAGGCCGCGCAGTGTTGAATCACTTGAGAGGTACATGTCCCACAAAAACGGCAGCCATGAAAGTATTCCAAATTCAGACAAGTTGGATGACCCACGATGCCGCATTGAGTACAAAGTGCTGGTTCGTCGACCGCGGTGGCACACCGACCGCATTGCAAACGTACTCCTTGTAATAGACCTTCGTTGGGGCATGGGTTCATAACCCTGATGGTTCCACATGTTTTGTCCTAAAATTGCAACTCTCAGTTCGCCATATGCACACAGTGGTACCAACAAGGAGGTCTGTAAAGGTAAGTGCGACGGACGAGAAGTGATCGTTTGGATAGCGATTGCGCAAGTTTTTTGCTACGCAAACAGTTCTTGGGCCTTGAGCCAAAACGGGTACGGACCCTCATCCGTCCCGCGGTTCGCGCAAGGTTTCGTGACAAGTTCGTGCCCGAATATACAATACAATTTAGAATGCACATACACATGTCTATGGCGGTGAGATTGCCCCTGCGCTCTGGCAGGGCTATGATCTCCGAGCGGCTGGCGCACCGGCAAATATCTTCTCTCAGCAGCGGGTATGAGCGGCTGGCGCACCGGCAAATGTCTTCTCGCAGCGGCGGGTATTCTGGCCTCCTCTCGTGGCCAAAAACCACTCGGAATCAGAGAGCCGGCGGGTCCTGCGCTCTGGACGCTCATGCATGACATGACTACTGTATTAATTAATACACCTATAAAAGTATACGGAGGCCTTCGCTCCCGCGTGTTTCCTTGGCTGTCGAAGGGTTCCCGCCCGACAGCCGAAAGCAGCAGGATGGATGCCGACGACGGGGGTCACCTGTGACAATAACACACAATTATGACTCCAGTGCTAGGCGGTTACATTCGGAACGGAACATATACAATGTGACGAAACACGCTGACAGCGAATGGTTCGCACACGCTGATGCTGCTGCTACTGCGTGCTCTGCCCGAATCACTGATGCTACTGCTGCATGATCTTCCTGAGAAAGTGGGGCCAATGAGGCTCACGCGAGATGCGCCCAAGAGGGCCCAAGAAGAAGGCTCCAAAACGGCCCGAGAGGGCTCCGAGACGGACCAAGACGCCCCCAGAGAAGGAAGAAGGAACTCGACATGACATTTGAAGTTTACCGATCCCCAGGGGCCCCTCCGAGACCGCCTGCAGGCTCTTCACTGACCCGCTTCTTCCCGCGCTGGCACTACCGTCCTTCCTCCATGCTCCCTGAGTCTCCCTCCCTCGCCCCCGATCTACGAGTCCGCCATCCCATTCCCCCCAACTCCCTCTCCAGCGAATCGCTCTACCATGCAGTCTCACTCGTCCTTCCGCAGCCTTCTTTTCCTCCTTCCTCACGGCGTGGCCTGAACTCTCATGCCATTTCCTTTCCCCACCCTCCCCCACCACCTCCTCCGCCAGCTCCTCTTCTACGCTCCACCTCACTCCAAACCACGCCTTCTCCATCTCCACCTCCTACTACTATCTGTCTCTCTGGCTCACGTTCTCCATCCAATAGCCGTTACTGCGGCCTGATGCACAGAACCGGTCCGACATGCATACCCCCACACACGCACACACACACACACGCCCAGGAACACACTGCAAGAAGAGGAAGAAAGTAAGGTAAGAAGTAGACACCAAACATAAGGAGAAGAACAGCCAATGATCGCATTCAAAGCTCGCCACCCTCGGACACGAGGGTTCCATCATCGCATCAAATGACCCCTGCAGCCCCATCGACAAGCCCCAGAAGGAGCATCCACGACCAGCAAGCCCCCACGAAGGCACCCGAAGTCCAACAAAGCACACACAACTAGCCGCCCCGTGAAAAGCGACCGATTCCCCTGACAACTCCCAAGAAATCCAGACGAATCGCACCAGCATCATGCCCCACGCAACGCCTCAGAAGACAGCCGACGCCGCTGCAGCTCAACACCGCCAACGACCACTCGGCCAGTCGACGCAGCAGTGCCCAAAAATGAGCCGGCGGAATGAGCGAAGCGAATGAACAAGAAGATCAAGACAATTACTTATACTAATGCTAAACATTGGAAGAAGATACGACGCCTGAGAAGAAGAATGCGTAGAATAATAGTGCGAAGAGTAATACTGAGAAGAAACACTAAACATACTGATAACAATAGTACTAGGGCGACGAATAAGAATACGAAGAAGGATGGGAAGACTAAGCCGATTAATAATACTAACAAGAACGGTAATGATACGAGCAACAAAAATAGTACGAATAAAATGATTAAGACGAGTAATAATAAGACCGAAACGAAAATGCATAATCATACTAAGAGTATGAATAATCAGAAGAAGCAGAGGAGATGGAGCAGCAGGAGCAGGAGGAGGGGGAGGAGGAGGAGGCCGAGGAGGAGGAGGAGGCCGAGATGAAGGAGAGGGAGGAGAAGGAGGAGGGGGAGGGGAAAGAGGGGTTGGAGGGGGAGGGGGAGGATGAGGAGGAGGTGGAGAAGAAGGAGGAGCAGGAGGAGGAGGAGGAGAAGGAGGAGGAGAAGGAGGATGAGGAGGAGGAGGATGAGAAGTAGGAGGAGGAGGAGAAGGAGGAGGAGGAGGAGGAGGCTCAATTGTGACACCTCGCCCGAGCCCGCCCCGGCCGCAGGGCGAACGGGCGGCGTCACGGGCGCGGCGCGAGACGGCGGACTCGGCACTGGCGCCCAAGGCCTCGGGTGCATGCGGCTCCTCGCCGTCGTCCTCACGGGATGAACTCTGGCTTCCGTGTCGTGCGCGCGAAATCGCAACCTTGAATCGCACCTTCGAACAGAGTCGCCATCAGCAGAGGGAGAAGTACATCCTCATCCAGGTCGAAAGGTGCGCTGTTCTTGCTCCTCCAGCGCCACCTGGTTGCTGGACCCACCGCGCGCCTGTCGCCCTCCGCGTCGGAACTCGTGCAGCATCAGCCGGCGTCCTGGGAGGATCCCAGTGAAAGGGCGTGCCAGGCCCCGAGCCGCTGATCCTGCCGCCCTCCATCCCAGCCATCGGCGCAGACACCGCACGGTCGATTTCTTATGCGACGTGCGCACGCTCGACGGCGACTCGAAGTCACCTTGACACCAGCGGCGGCGACGACGACCGCAGCGGCACGTGCGCCGAGGCGGACTGGGCTGGCGCGCCCAGGTGCGCAGCCCGCGCCGCCGAGAGTACGCCCGCGGGGCCAGAGCTCCAAGAGGAGCAGCGGCTGCCACCGCCGTGAGCACGCCAGCGGGCCACCCTGGGGCCAGCTCCGGCAAGAGCTCCTGTGGGAGCAGCCGCCGCCACCGCCGCGAGCACACCTACGAGGTCAGTGCCCGCGAGGGCTCCTGGGGGAGCAGAGGGGGCGCTGCCGACGTGGGTACGACTACGGAGTCAGTACCTCCTCCTCCTCCTTCCTCCTGCCCCCCCTCTTCCACCTCCTCCTCCTCCTCCTCCTTCATCCTCTCCTCCTCCTCCTCCTCCTCCTCCTCCTCCTCCTCCTCCTCCTCCTCCTCTTCCTCCTCCTCCTCCTTCTCCCCTCTATCCATCCTGGCCTGCCTCCTTCCAACGGTGGCGGTCGCGGGTAGGTCCTGCAGGTACGTTCGGATTTCATCGACCTTGTGGAGAGCGCGGCAGGACAGAAGGGGAAAGGAAAGGAGAGAGGAACTTCACAACTACGGCGCCCAACAGTGCACCTGCTCGAATTCGAGACGGTCCCACACGCAAATACGATATGAAGGCGTCAGAGGCCCGGAACTATAACTAATACCTAGACGCTGAAGACCCATGATACGACATGCGACGAATGGATGGAAAAACGAGCCTGATAACAACTGGACATAATTATATGATAGTGGCGAAGCTGAGACAAAGTGGCAACACATGGCAAATTAAGAGCATCATGGTACGAAGAAACCACGTGTCAAATATATGAATGAATCAGACAGAAGAGGAAACGGAACCTCCAGCTCCACAAAGCGAGGCCCGATTATGGCATGGAGGTCAGACTTCTTACACGTAGCCTGGCAGAGACCCAATCATTAGCAGCTGCACGTAACGGTGATGATGAAGCTTTCTATGCACGGCCCGTGGGTTTGGAGGTGCATACAAAGTTCCAACTGGAGCCGCATGTGGAACTCCAGGAGGGGCGCGAAACGTGTCAGAATACGCCGACATGTGCGGTACATTTCCCCCCCGGGACCGCAGGTGGCGCTCGTTTGAGGGGTGTGCCGAAACTGGCGCCAGGGCGCACGCACAAGTTCCCGCTCAGGCCGCGTGTGGGGCCCACGTGCGAGGCCACGATCCTCGTGAGGGGTGCGCAGCCGTGGGCGCCACAGCCATGCGGACCCTCCCTCTGGGTTCGTAGGCGGAGGAGGAGGAGGAGGAGGAGGAGGAGGAGGAGGAGGAGGAGGAGGAGGGGAGGAGGAGGAGAGGAGGAAGGAGGAGGAGGAGGAGGAGGAGGTGGAGGATAGGCGGAGCTCTCTGCGGGGCCTCAAGCCTTGCAAGGGCCGTGCCGAGCGAGGGGCGCGTGCTCCACGCGGCTGGGCCCACGGAAGCCGTGGGTGGAGCTCCTCCCGGGGCCCGCACGGGGCCTCGCGCGCGCCACGCCACGCACGAGGCGCACCCCAAGCCCCCTCCTGCTCCTCCTCCTCCTCCTCCTCCTCCTCCTCCTCCTCCTCCTCCTCCTCCCTCCCTCCCTCCCTCCCTCCCTCCTCCCCTCCCTCCCCTCCCTCCTCCTCCATCCCTCCCCTCCTCCTTCCTCCCTCCTCCTCCTCCCTCCTCCCTCCTCCCTCCCTCCCTCCTCCCTCCTCCCTCCTCCCTCCTCCCTCCTCCCTCCTCCTCCTCCCTCCTCCCTCCTCCTCCCTCCTCCTCCTCCTCCTCCTCCTTCTCCTCCCTCCTCCTCCTCCTCCTCCTCCTCCTATTCCTCCTTTTCCTCCTCCTCCTCCTCCCAGGAACCAGAGCCATCTCTGAGCCCAAAGTGGTCTTTGCTTCAGCGCCTCGACTGCAAGTGCCCCCCTCACCCCGCGTAGAGGCCTCCTAGATGGGATCGGAGGGGACGGGGTCGGAGGATCGCGCCGCATCGCTCGATATGCCCGCGATGCATCGGCGATGCATCGACGATGCACCAGCGATGTATCGTCGACGTGGGCGACGCATCGGCGACGTCGACGTGAAGCAAACCGGGCCCCACATCGAGCCGCATCGGCGATGCATGAGCGATGCGGCGTGTGGCATGTGCGGGAGCAGCTGTACCTAATACAGAGAGACACGAGGTACAAGTAGGGGGCCCGTGCCAAGAGAGAGCACGCTCTCTTTCCTTTTACGGGGGCTCGCGCGCGCCCGCGGCCAGCGCGCCAAGTAACTCAAGGGCCCCGCGAGCCAGAGATGCAGCAGGGCAAGGGAGGTGAGACCGAGGCGCAGGAGGAGGCGCAGGAGGTGAGGCTGAGATAGGATAAGCCACCACACGGCGCGAGCCTCCGACCCCATCCACTTCGACCCCTTCTATAGGAGGCCTAGACCACCCCATCCCCCAAAAGACGCCGGGCCGGGCCGTCGCCGCGTCCAGCGGCCCCGCTTCGACGGACACCATGCCCGCGTGCGAGAACTGGCAGTTCGCTCCGTTCCTGCAGATGCCTTCGGCGCGCGGCCCACGGGACGGATGATGAGGCCGGAGGAGCAAGAGAGGAGCAAGAGGAGCAGGAGCACTGGCAAGAAAGAGCAAGGCGGAGAAGGAGGAGGAGGAGGAGACCCAGGAGGAGGCGTGGAAGGATGAATGCAGAGAGAGAGAGAGAGAGCGGAGACAGAGGCAGAGAGGGAGAGGAGGTAAAGCGGGTAAAGGAGGGGGATGTGCAGCAGCGAGATCGGGAGGAGCAGGAGGAGCAGGATCAGGAAGAGGAGGATGAGGCGGAGAGGAGGGTGGAGGAGGCCAGGGAATGAGGAAGTGGAGGGCGAGGAAGAGGAGGATGAGGTTCACGAGGATGCGGAGGACGAGGTTCACGAGCAAGCGGAGGCGGAGAAGCCGCAGGAACGGGAGCGGCCATGAGCCTAGTAAGGGCAAGACCGGAAAGAGCTGGAGGCGTAGTAGGGGGAGGGGGAGGAAAAAAGACGTTTACACTTACACCGATCCTAGCCAGGACAATCCTGGGCTCAGGGTCGGTGTGCACAGAAAACACCGCAACTATACGCCCTCCTGGCAAGGCCGGAGAAAGATAAACGCCCATCATTGGCCCAAAATTGGCCTGGCCATGGCCGGCGTAGGCTTATGGTTGCCCCCCCCCCCCCGAGGAGGACGAGGCAGAGAAGGATGAGTGGGAGGAGGTGGAGCAGGGACAGGGGGAGCCGGGACTTGCAGGAAGAGGAGCAGGAACATCGATCCTCGCTTCTCGAATCTCGATCCCCGATCATCGATCCTCGATCCCCGATCTCCGATCCCCGAGTCCTCGAATCTCGATCCTCGGAAGTCGGCGAGCTCGGTCCTCGATCGCCTGCAGGCGGGGATCTCTTGTCGAGGAGAGGAGGCGAACCAGTTCGACTCCTCTCCTCGACAAAAGACCCCCCGCCCCTCCTCCTCCTCCTCCTCCTCCTCCTCCTCCTCCTCCTCCTCCTCCTCCTCATCATCATCATCATCATCATCATCATCATCATCATCATCATCATAATCATCGCCGTCTGCCGCTCAAAAAATGTCAATGGCGTGCAGGGCTGCCGCGAAGGCGGCCCGCTGAAGATTCTGCGTCAGCCGGTCCCCACGGGTCACCGCAGCCTCAGGCGGCGCAGCAAGATGAGGCGGAGGAGGTACAGTGGGAGCTCGGCCACAAGAAACCAACCTTCCACAAGAAACCCAACCCTGAGACCCCAGGATGTCCATGGATGCTGGGTATGGGGGCATCACGCTTGTCATCGTAGAGCCATCGAAACCAAAGAAACCGAGGGCACCTTGGAGGCAGGCAGGGTGTTTATTGGCATGGGCTTCCACTGTACAGTGCGTGGAGTCAGGGCCCTGCACGAGCCGAAAGACACGAACCATGCGGGAATTCGGTCACAAGAGTTCAGAGTGGCGCCCGAAAGGAGAAGCGGAGGTCAAATACCGCCCAATCTGCCGCCCAGGGCGAAGGCGCGAGCGAAAAACATCACGCGCATCATGCTGGTCAGATTCGCTGGGGAGGCACCATGCCGATCAACAAGACCAAGGCCAGCAACCGCACGTCCATCGACCCATATGAATTTCAATGTCATACTGTGTACTCTTACCGTTTCCTGAGCACTGCAATCACCAAAAAAGCCTTCGAGTAGAACAAGAAATTGCGGAATGAAGCTGACCCTCGCGCAATCTGGCCACACCGTTAGACTTATAAGCAATGCTTCTGGTTGACCTTACGTATTTAAATACCATGTTGCCGAAGTGAATTTGAACAACGAAGACATCCCCACCAGCCGAGAACAGAGAGGACCCGAACCATGTGTCGAACAATACCCATCCTCGGCGACGGCCAGAACGACCACTGTCGACAGCAACGGCATGCCCACCAGATGCGGCAGCTGTATTTGTCTTCACCCCATAAACAACCGATGCGCTGATGACGAAAAGAGACAGTTTCCCCACTGAAGGAAAGGGGGCTCCACCATGCTGAGCAAGAACCACGGGTGAGAAGGAAGAGGAGGCAAGGAAGCAGAGGGGGAGAGTGGGCACCGTGGTCGCCAAAAGACGACTGTCACGCTTACGTCGGCTGCTAAAAACCCTGCCCCATGCCAGAAGTAAACAAGCTCCAGCCACATGAGGGGGGTAACAAGGGACAGGCAGGGGCAAGATGCGGCGGCGGAATGGGATAGGAAGCGGTGCGGAGGAAATCCAAAGCCTGGCGCACAACGAGTGGCTGATCGCAGGGAGGCCGTGGCCCGTCGGAGCCACCCTGGCAGAGGCCAGAATGCATCCGGGCATGGCGGTTCGCGAGGACGCTCCGCGCAGTCTGGTGTCCCATGCCCTGCTCGAAGGATGGACTCCTCCTCCCCCATCCTCAGCCTGCACCCGCCCCCCCCGGTGCGCAGCAAACGTCAGAAGGGGAGGCCGAGGTCCCAAAAGAGTGCGCAGGCAATCCGCCCAGCGTCAAACAGGCCACGCAGCGGGGGCCGCCAGCTCGCCCGCTTTGCGACCTGCTCCTGTGCCAAAGATAAGCCGCCCGACGACGAAACCGCAAACCTGCGGACTCGAGCATCTTCCGTCCGCTCTTGTTCCCCCTCCTCGTGCATCCTTCCTCCTCCTCCTCCTCCTCCTCCTCCATCCTCCATCCTCCATCCTCCATCCTCCTCCTCCTCCTCCTCCTCCTCCTCCTCCTCCTCCTCCTCCCTCCTCTTCCTCCCCTCTTCCTCCTCCTCCTCATCCTCCGCCTCCTCCTCTTCCTCCTCCTCCTCCTCCTCCTCCTCCTCCTCATCCTCCCTCCTCCTGCTGTCCCCCCCCACCCTCCTCTCATAACCTTGCTCCTGCCCCTCCTCGCGGCATCCTCTCTTCTCCTGCGTCTGAGGCGCGTCATTGTTTGACGCTGAGCGGACTTCATGCAACAGCATGGAGCGCGGATGCGAAAAAAGGAGATGCAGAATGCCGACTCACGCAAAGATCAAAAACGAATGAAACTTGGCGGGCGCAGCCAGAAAAAAGGTCGGGCAGCGAGGCGCGAAAGGAGCACAGGGCCCTGAGGCAATAGAACATGCGCCCGCCAAGCCGCATGGTGGAGAGGGAAAGGACCGAACCGTGAACCTGAACAAATGACCTAAATCACAACCTAGGACGAGCCCAACGGAGAAGGACGATATACACGTGCAGATTGCACATGTGAGGGCGGGCAGCCCAAGCGACACGCTGCTATGCCTGTAGCAACTTCGTACCCAACATTGGGCCAATGCCCGCCCCCACGCCCCATCTGTACAGGTCCAGGCGTGTAGAGCTTAAAATCAAAACATGCAGCACAGGCGCCACAAGACAGACAAGTAGCGAGAGGAAAAGGTCATACTTGAAGCAACATGCTGAATACAGGCGTGCGAAAGCAGTGTGCAAAATAGAGAGCGGGGGCAGGAGGCAATGCCGCCCGCTGGAGGTGCTGCAGCGGGCGTTGCACTCTGGAGCGCCCTTCGCTTGCCTCTCTGTAGCGCCCCCCCCCCCCCACACACACCCCTCATCAATACCCATAACCCGTCCCTCTCTCTAGTCAGGATAGCACGGAACACGTAAAAGCTAACAGCACAGGCGACGTCAGAAGCAAAATAGATGCTGAAGACTGAGGTGGAATGAACACGAAATCGTTAGGTCAACACACTAGAGGGCTGGCCTGTGCGATGGCTGCAAGTTGCTTCAACCTGCTGCACTTGTGTATGCGCTCAAGGGCGGCTTCAAGCTGTAAAACAGAGAACGCATGCTAGGTGGCAGTTCTAGGGTTGCCGCCCAGAGTGCTTCGGTTCACCCCAAATCTCCATGGTCCGAGGACCCCCGTGTTTTTTACGATTTGTTTCAGCTTAAGCACGAAACCTTAGTATCAGCTCACTGCAAAGGATTGCGCACAGTAGGCTGGCCTGTATGCGAGCTGTGGCAAGTAGTTGGCAGAATGCGCGAGAGTAGCAATAAGACAGATGCCAATGCGCGTCATCCTCCCCCTCCCTCTCCTCCCCTGGAAGACGGGGGACGGGGAGGGGAGGGTGGGCAGAGGAAGAAGCTGGAGGAGAACGGTGAGGAGGGAGGCACGTGGCAAGGAGCAAACGCGAGATGAGGAAAACGAGCAGGAAAGACCGGGCAAGTACCCTGCCCCATTTAACGAGCTAAACGAATCGCAGACGAGGAGCGCTGGACAGCCGAAGGAGGATGGCCACGGCCAGTTTCCAAAGTTTTGGCGCCGATCTCAGCATCTGCAGAATCGGGCACCCGACAAAACGTTGAAGAGTCTCGACCTACTACTGGCCGGCAAGGCACGCAAAAAGAAAGCGGGTGCTTGATATGACGTGCGTGGTATGGCTAGGTAGCGAGGAACCTGGAGTGCGTTTCCTCTGCTCATACCCTACTGCTCGCGTCCGAGTCTGCCGACGAAGCTCCTCGTGCCCCCACCAGAAGACCACCAGAAGACGACATGCCTGGCCATGTCATCAGAGGCACTCATGAAGCAATCTCGTGATGGGAACTCCCAAGGCAATCTACTCGAATCCGCCACAAAGTAAGATGAAACCATGACGAGGATAAATCGAGACTCTCTGAGATCCGGTGGCTCTGGAAGATGTCTGGGGCACCGCGGCCTTCTCAGAGCGTTCCGGAACGCTTTGGGAGCGTTCCGCAACGCTCTGGAACGGATTTGTCCTCGGCCTAGCCCCGTGACAGAGCCCCCTGGCACGCTGAGGCGTCGTCGAATGCTTAAGTGATGTCTGGCAGGGTTCTGCAATGAGGGGCAACGATAAGGGGGGGCTGGCATGAGGGGGGATGCATCGACCTGGAATCGGCGATACATCGCCGATAGATCGGCGATAGGACTCCGATAGTGAGTCCGCACCTTCCTGGGCAGGTTGGGGCTTCGGGCCCCTATCGGCACTATGGGCGATTGGTGGTCGATGCATCTCCCCCCTCTGCCTATCCGCCCCTATCGTCGCCCCTGATGTAAGTG